GCTTTCTAGTTCTTTAAGTTGTGAGGTTAGATAGTCAATTAGACATTTTTTTGTTTCTTGAGGTAGGCCTGTAGTGCTATGAACTTCCCTCTCAGAACTGCTTTCGTTGCATCCCATAGATTTTGTGTTGTTGTGTGTTTATTTTCATTGGTTTCCAGGAAGTTTTTAATTTCTTCCTGGATCTCCATAGTAATTCATTCATTGTTCAATAACATGCTATTTAGCCTCCATGTTTGTTTGTTTTTTCTCTCTATTGATTATAGAGAGAGAGGAAAGGAGAAGGAGAGAGAGAGAGATATATCAATGAGAGAGAACATTGATTAGCTGCCTCCTGCATGCCCCCCACTGGGGATCGGGCCCCATAACCTGGGCATGTGCCCTGATCGAGAATTGAACTGGCGACCTCTTGGTGCATGGGTCGATGCTTAACCACTGAGCCACACCAGCCGGGCTAGCCTCCATGTTTTCAAATGTCTTTGCATGTACTTGTTGAAGTAATTTCTAATTTCATGCCATTGTGATCTGAAAAGATGCTTGATACGATTTCAATCTTCTTGAACTTGTAGAGACTTAGTTTGTGTCCTAACATGTGGTCTATCTTTGAGAATGTCCCATGTGCACTTGAGAAGAATATGAATTCTGCAGTTTTGGGGTGTAATTCTCTGTATATATCTATTAAAACTATTTGATCCAGTGCTTTATTTAGAGTCTTTGTTTCCTTGTAAATTTTTTGTCTAGATGATCTATCCAGTAATGTCAGCGGGGTGTTCAAGTCCCCTGCTATGATTGTATTGCTGTCGATTTCTCCTTTGAAGGCCTGATTTTTAATATATTTTGGTCTTCCTTTATTGGGTGCATATATGTTTACCAAGGTTATGTCTTCCTGTTGGATAGATCCTTTCAATATTATGTGGTGGCCTTCTGTGTCTCTAGTTTTTGCCTTCATTTTGAAATCTATTTGATCAGTTACGAGTATTGCTACCCCAGCTTTTTTTTCTTTTCCATTTGCTTGGTAAATTTTTTTTCATCCTTTCACTTTCAACCTATGTGAGTCTTTTGTTGTGAGGTGGGTCTCCTGTAAACATGCTTTCTTATCCAGTCCGCTACTCTGTGTTTTTTTATTGGAGCATTCAATCCATTTACATTTAAGGTGATTATTGATATGTACTTATTAATTATTATTTTTGTTTAATGTGGTTATATTTTTCTTCCTATTTCTTCTACTAATTACAGCAGTCCTTTTAACATTTTTGTAGTGCTGGTTTGGTGCTAATATATTCCCTTAGCCTTTTTTTTTTTTTTTTTTTTTTTTTGGTCCGGGAAGCTCTTTAATTCACCTTCTAATTTGAATGATAGCCTGGCTGGATAGAGTAGTCTTAGATTTAGATCCTTGTTTTTCATGACCTTCATTACTTTATGTCATTCCCTTCTGGCCTGTAGTGTTTCTGTTGAGAAGTCAGATGATAGCCTTATGGGGTTCCTTTGTAGGTATCCTGTTGCTTATCTCTTGCTGCCTTTAGGATTCTCTCTTTGTCTTTAATTTTTGGCATTATAATTACTATGTGTCTTGGTGTGGGCCTGTTTGGGTTCTTCTTACTTGGGGCTCTCTGTGCTTCTTGAACTTGAATGCCTTCTTCCTTCACCAAATTAGGGAAGTTTTCTGTCACTATTTTTTCAAATCTATTCTCTAACCCTTGCTCATTTTCTTCCTCTTCGGGGACTCCAATGATGTGAATGTTATTACATTTTCAGTTGTCCCACAGTTCTCTTAAGCTGTCTTCCTGTTTTTTGTTTTTTTCTATTGGTTTTCTGATTGGTTGATTTTTTTCTACCTTGTCTTCTAATTCACTGATCCAGTCCTCAGCTTCCTCTACTCTGTTGGTTAGTCCTTCCAATGTGTTCTTTATTTCTGCTATGTCATTCTTTACTTCCACTTGGTTGGTTTTCAATGTTTTTATATCTTTACTCATGGTGTTGATGTCCTTACTTATGCTGTTGAGCTTTCTCAAGATCATGGCTCTGAACTCTACCTCTGATAATTTGCTTAACTGCATTTCATTGATCTCATCTTCGATAGAGTTCTCTTGTTCTTTCATTTGGGATTTATTTTTTTGTTTCACCATTTTGGCTATCTCAGTGGGTTTTGGAGCCTGCCAAATTTTTCCTGTGGGTGTTGGTGTTCTGCTGTTGGTGGCTCCCTCTAGTGGGTTTGGATGAGTGTGGGAGGACCCACATTAAATATCATTGTCAAGTCTTACTTTCCTGGGTACATTGGCAAGCCCAGGAATGGTTCAGTTATCCTCTAGCTTTTTGCCTGGAGGCTATTAGTCTCAGTTAATCAGGGTCTTGGGTTGTAGCCTTCAGCTGCATGAATAACTCCCTCAGGTGTTCAGCATAAGAGGATTTCCAAAGGATGGGACAGATGCTGGTTGTTAATGAGCCTCAATTTGCATTTATTTGGCCTAGCTTGGTGGGGTTGAATCTCCAGGGGGAGGGGCTGCTGCTTCTCCCCAGAGCTCCAGGAAGGAGCAAGATGACCACTGTCCTGCATGGCCGCAACTCAGCAAAAACTCTAAGTGCCCTTCAAATCCCAAGTGTCCCCACAGAGTTCCAGTCCAGTCTGCCCTCCCTCTGTGGGAGCCCAAGGTGTGTGGCTGTAACTAATTTAGTGCTCTGTCCCTGCCGTCTGGGCTGTGGAGCCGGCTTAGGGTTTCAATCCCAAGGGCACTGCCCACAGCTAAAACCGCTGCTGTCCGTGGGCTCCCAGCCCCCTCTTGTGCCTCTGCAGACCTGCCAGGCTTGATTCAGTGTCCCTGGTTATATGGTCCTCTCCAGCTGCTTTTCTGTTGCTTTTCCCTGACAATTTGTCTTTATTTTAGTTGTAATTCCAGTTTGGTCTTGGGAAATCGTCTGCATATGTTCCATTCACTCCACCACCATTTTTCTGCTAAATTTTATTTTCTAAATACACTTGGGCTTTGTTTTTTAACATTTGGAAACATTGCTAAATTTACAAATTTAAATAATTGCATTGTAAATTATCTATAGGTCCAAGGAGTCAGTAAATTATGGCCTGTGGCCCAATCCGACCCACAGCCTGTTTTTACAGGGCCCACCAGCTACGAATAGTTCTTGCATTTTTTAAATTTTTTATCCTCACCAGAAGATAAATTTTTCCATTTTTGTTGAGACAGAGTGGGCGGGAGAAAGAGAGAAACATCGATGTGAAAGGGATACATTGAGTGGTTGCCTCCCACACGACCCCAACCAGGGCCAGGGATGAATTGCAACCAAGGTACATGCCCTTGACTGGAATAGAACCCGTGGTTCATTGGTCTGCTGGCAGACGCTCTAACCGCTGAGCCAAACCAGCCAGGGCGGTTCTTGCATTTTTATAAATTATTGTAAAAATACAACAACAAAGAAACAAAAAATTACAAAGAATATGGTACAGAAACAATATATAGCCTAGAAAACCTAAAAATTTTATTATTTGGCCCTTTACTAAAAGTTTGCTGACCCTTCCCTACACAAAGAATCATGTTACCCATGAATATTGTCCAGTACTTTTATTTCTACCATTCTAAATGTGCACATTTCATTTCTTTGCCTTTTTATTTACTTATTTTTTACTACATTGGCTAAAATCTTCAGTATAATGTTGAAGAGAAATGGTGGTAACCTGGAATTTCAAGTTTTTTCTCTGTCTCAAAGGAGAGAATGTTAACATTTTACAATTAAGTGTGATATTTGTTTTAGATTTTTTGTAGCCTTCTTTAATTAGAACAAAAATTCCATTCTTTCCTAATTGTCTAAAAAATTTTAATCCAAAGAAAAAAATCAGACAACCCAGAAACTTAACTTGCAGTGGTCCTAGGCGGTTGACACAGAGGGATAATATGCATAAATTAACTTTTAGGAAGTCTTTCAGACAGCATTCATTTTCTCATTCCAGCACTGTTTCCATAGTTTTTACTTTTAGTCATTGTTTAGCCTATGATTGTTTTCTGTCATTCAATATCCTCTCCCTTTGTTAATTAAAATCCTTAGAAGTAGATTCGGAAGTAGAGTCTTCAAATTAAGAGGTAAGAAACCTGATCTGGCGGGGTAGCTCAGTTGGTTAAAGAATTATCCCAATACGAAAAGGTTGTGGGTTCAGTTTCCTGTCAGAACACATATAAGAATCAACCAATGAATACATAAATAAGTGGAACAACAAATTAATATTTCTCTCTCTCTCTAAAATCAATAAATTAAAAATAAGAAAATATTAAAAATATTTTTTCTTTATTGATTTTAAAGAGAGAGAAAAGGAGAGAAAGAGAGAGAGAGAATCATCAATTAGAGATAACACCGAATGGCTGCTTCCTGCATGCCCCCCACTGGGGATTGGGCCCATAACCTGAGCATGTGCCCTGACCGAGAATCGAACCAGCAACCTCTTGGTGAGTGGGTTGACGCTCAACCACTGAGCCACATGGGCCAGGTAAATGAGAAAATGTTATTTAAAAAGATGTAAGAACCCAGTGAAGCTCAGCTTCAAAAAGCATATGACAGCCCTGGCTGGTTTGGCTCAGCAGTTAGAGCGTCGGCCTGCAGTCCAGAGAGACCCAGGTTCGGTTCCCGCTAAGGGCATGTACCTCAATTGCAGTTTGTCCCCGGCCCTGGTTGGTCATGCAGGTGGCAGCCACTCGATGTGTCCCTTTCACGTCGATGTTTCTCTCTCTCTCTCTTCCTCTCTCTCTCTCTCCCACTCTATCTGAACAAAAAATGAAAAAATGTCCTTGGGTGAGGATAAAAAAAAAAAAGCAAATGACAAAAATATATTGACAAGTATAACTGTGCTCTAAAGTAGAAATAACAGGGAGGAATCCACATGTTTATTAATTTATTCATGTAAAATTTACTTAACATTTAATTGAGATTTTTGGAAGCCAGAAAAGCTATTTTTATATTTTTATGTTATTCTTTGCAAATATTTAGATTAACCAGATAATCTTAAATAGGTTATTTTAGATAGCTGCTGTCATATGAAGTTGTGTTTATTTTTGGTATACAAGTTGTTTTTTTTGTTGTTGTTTTTTTATGCACTACCTTCTCAATCTTATAAGTGTTTTATTGACAACACAATCTTTAACACTGCTCAAAACACACACTAATTTTTTGAAAGGCATTTTGTTCAATTTAGTCCCATTTTAGTATTCCTTTAAAAATTTTAACTGATGACTCTGGAAATTCAGCCAAGAATGTAGTATCAAAAACTTGCTTGAATTTATCTAAAAATTCATAATCAGTGCTGAATCTGAACTTGTTTGCCCAAAGCAACACAGTCCCTGGCTGGCTGAGGTACACCATGGTGGTGAGCAGCTTGTCAAGACAGTAGTGATGGTAGACCACATCAGAGGCCAGAACGTAATCATAGTAAAAAGTTGACTTGGGGAACTTTTGTTCCAGGCCTTCTCCCCACACCAGTTCTTTGACTTCAGGCAGATGTGCTGTGTGTTTTAGTGTGTTCTTTAAAAGGTTGTATTGAAGGTTTCCTAGGACATCAGGCAAATCTGTGGCCGTGACTTGAGCTCCTAAGCGAGAAAGAGAAAAAGTGTAATGATTACCTGGAAACACTTGGTCATTTAGGGTGGACATATACTCTCAGGGAGAAACAAAAGAAATAGAACTGGGCTTCTCAACCTTGGCCCTATTGACATATGGGCTGGACATATTTGATATAATTCCACTGGATAATTCTTTCAGGGGCTGACATGGGGTTCTGCCCTGTGCTCTGTAAGATGTTTGGCAGCATCTCTGTTACCCATCCACTAGATGGCAGTAGCACTGTTCCCCCATCCCCAAGTCATGACAATCAAAAATGTCTCCAGACATTGCCAAATATCCTTTCTGGGGCAAAATCACCTTTGGTTGAGAACCACTGAAATAGAATAGTGTTCCCAGCTTTTAAGGAACTATAAGTTAAACAATGGTGCAATGTTAGAAGATTTCAGAATAATTAGCTAAACATGTTAAGGTTCTTAGCATCTGTTTAATATAATAATTCATAATTTTCCCCTCTAAATATAGATTTATCTGAAGATTTTGTTTTTTTCTTACACGAACTATTCAGCACCCAGTTTTCTTTCCACAAAAGATGATCTATTTTGTATAACTCTTGCCCTTATCTAAATTCACTAAATTAATTCTTAGGCATTTTAAGGCTAGTGACAGTGGTTCACAAAATAGATCACCATATTTTCAGATTAATTTTTAAAGCTAACAGAGCTATAATAGTGTAGGCAGAAGTTCCCAGATTAGCACCACCTCTTGCCTAATACCCAAGAACTTGCAACCTACATTTTGGTTATAAATCTATCTTCACCTTACGTTAACTCACTTTTTTTTCCCTTCAAAATGTTAGTTATAATATTTGCAACAAAAAGCAGGTGACAACATAACACAGTTGTTTACAACAGGGATCTGAAAGTCACACCTCCAAAATTTCAACTTCATCACATGGCAATTGGTGGACTGGGCAAGTTACTTATCATCTCTAAGACACGATAATCTTATCTCTGGGGATAATAGTAGTAATTCTAGCTCATGACATTTGGGAGAGATTTAATGAGTGAAATCATGGATGAGCACCTAAACTACAGCCTGTGATACTCCTTATCATTATTGTCACAGCAAAGGTCTTTAGAAACAAGGTCAGGAATAAACAAATAGACAAACCTAAAATACTGGCTACAATGGAAACAAGACCTGGTCCAGCACCAATTTCAAGTATTTTAGCATCTTGAAGGTTCAGGTCCACTGTATGTTCCTCCAAATACTGACACAAAGCTGTAGCCTAAAAAATATTTATAGTTGTTACTTGGACATTGGAACACTGGAAACCAGTAGTGACCTCAAATCCCCACCCGAAGTTAAATACTATAAGACATGTCATTAATAGTTCCAGTTTATTGAAAGTTTCATCACAATGTACATTTAATGATGTATTTAGACCTCTGGAATATGGGAATTATAACACGCATCAAAGGAACTAGAGAATCGGGTTTGTTAAGCCACCTGCATCAGAAGACTGTTGATCAGTCTCTGGGAATTAGAAGATCAGTTCATCTCTTGCAAATCCAGGTAGTGAGCCCTAGAGAACAGCAACTTCTTGCTGCGGTTTAGTCATGTCAGACCTCCACCAGCTTTAAGATTGTTGGAAAAATTTCAACACCTCTCTCCTAGCTTCTATCAAAATTCAAGTTGGCTAGGACTTTGTCTGCTGTACTGGACAACTGGGCAGTTGTTTTTTTAAGTGGTTCCTCTACTTAGGAAATATGTTGACTATCAGAACAATACTTCCCAAACTTCAGTGTGCACGCAGATCCCCTGGGGACCCGGTGAAGGATGCACATCTGGGTGGGGTGCTCAGGACTACATTTCTAACAAGCTGCTAGGTGATGCCAGGGCTCCTGGTCCATGGACCACGCAGAATAGCCAGGAGATGTTAGAAAGCATATGCAAATAAGTTAAGGTAGCTTTTTATACAGAAAATCGAACGTCCCTTGAGAAAATAGCATAATTATTTGTGATGTGGGGGTTTCGATATTCAGAAGACAGTGTCACCACGGCGCTATGGAGAGGACATGTGCTTTGAAGTGTTTTCTGAAGAGATAGCCCTGCCCTGTGAGAGGCTGGCCCCATTGGGGTGCTATCTGGAAACAAAGCTTTTCTCAGGAATGGCTACGTTTGACACTACAAATACTCTCCCACCCCTTCTGAGCCCTATTAGCAAATTCTGGAAAGCGATCTCTTTCACAGAGAGCTGCACTAGAGGTCACACAAGAAAAGCGTGTTACATAAACCCTTCTTCTGCAGTTTTCAGGGGTTTGAGGTCTCAACAGAAGCCAGGGTTGGTGCATGAAAGGCCAAGGCCTTAATGAGAATAAAACAGCCAGTGGACAAATATCTCTTTCCAATCCTAATCCCCTGCTATAGTTGTCTATTTGCCAAATATATTATAAAAGGAAACTGTGGAGTAGTTTGGTGGTTTTCATTAAGCCAAAGAAAAGCAAACAATGCAAAAAACCCCTCACAGAGACAGACAACAGTGTGGCGATTATCAGAGGGAAAGGGGAGGTAGGAGAGGGTAAAGGGGGGATAAATGGTTAGGGAGGGAGACTTGATTTGGATTGGTAAACGCACAATACAATATACGGATGATAGAATTGTACACCTGAAACCTATATTAACCAATGTGACCCCAATAAATTTAAAAAATAAAAGTAAAGCCTTTGTTTGAAGGAAATCATACTTACATGCATAAGGGGTAAAAATGAAGCTACCTTGGTTGGAAGGTCGGGGGGGTGGAGCTCTAGGGGTGTGGGGCCCCTCGCTGCCCCTCCCTCCTCCTGCTCCCCCTCTCACTTGCCACCAGTACCCCACATGAACCTCTAGTCAGGACTATTCATTATACATGCAGTCCCTGGACCCACAGGTCTGTATTCCCTGGGAGCCGGAGAGAAATGCAGAGCACAGCACCCCCCACCTCCAACCTCCGACTCAGGATCTGCATTTTAAGGAGACCCCCAGTATGATCCACATCCATGGCAAGGACCACGTCCACGGCAAGGACCACGTCCACGGCAAGGACCACGTCCACGGCAAGGACCACGTCAACGTCAAGGACCACGTCCACGCCAAGGACCACGTCCACGCCAAGGACCACGTCCACGCCAAGGACCACGTCCACGCCAAGGACCACATCGAGGTGGAAACCCTCCGTGGAGGAAAGAGCAGCAGGGCTGGCATCCGAGCCCAGACCCAGCCCGCAGTGCACCGTGCCCCACAGTGCAGTGGCTTTGACGAATCGTGAGCTTCTCTTCATTAATTTAGCAATTCATTAACATTATCACCTTCCATTAACAATTACAGCTCACATGAGCTTAGGTGTATCACCTCATTGAACCTTCACAACCACTTTGGGAACTGGACATGAACACTGCCTCGGCTTTACATTTGGAAATGAAGGCAAACGGAGGCGCAGTGAACACCCATCACCACACAGCCAGGAAACAGCAGGTTTTCTGGCTCTAAAGTCAGAGTGTTTCCCCCGTGTTGGTGCTAACCTCATGGGGTGCAGCAGGGAGAACGTGAGGTGTAGTCATGCTTCCTGAACATTTCTACTGGAATAGCCACAATGTAAACAGGAAATGAGTACTTAAGGGTCTGGCCCAGAGGTACATGCTACAAAGCCTAAACTCTAAAGATGTGACTTTTGTTCTTAACAATTTGTATGACTTTTTCATGCTACTTCCTGAGATAGTCAAATTTATATTAATGTAAGCAATAATGTTTCGAGAACATAGCATAGGCTCAACCTGTGGGTCGCGACCCCTTTGGGGGTCGCACGACCCTTTCACAGGGGTCGCCTAACATAACAGAAGCAAAATTACAGTTATGAAGTAGCAACGAAAATAAATTTTATGGTTGGTGGTCACCACAACATGAACTACATTAAAGGGTCGCGGCATTAGGAAGGTTGAGAACTACTGGCATAGAGGAAGCTCAACGCTTAAGGGAGAGATGCTACATATTTGTGCAGCCCAAGCACACTACCCACACCCCCGGGGTGGGGGCAACAATGGACTCTTCATTGGAGAAACCCAGAATGTTAAAGTACTTGGCAAATTGTGCAAGGCAACACAGATAAACGGAAGTCCCCAGACGTCCGGCCATCCCAGCGTAACAGTCTCTCACCCCTGGCCACACCACCGCTCCATAACTCTCTATTGATTCTTGAACGACAATCTTCTTGCCTGCAAACAGGTAATGCTCCTGAGTGTAGCTGGCATAGTCTGTAGGAACAAATTCCTGGAGGCTATGAAGAGATGGATCTATGTTAAAATCTGTGGGGCAGAAACAAAATAGGTTTCACGATGTGTTGATTCAGTGCAAATACACACGTAGTACGGTTGGCAAGATGGGAACTGATTGAGAATTCTTTCAACAGAGGGGCGATGCTATCAATGACAGTGGCTGCAAAGTAGCACAAAACAGTGCCATGGAGTGACAGGGACATAACACTCAGATGTGACATTTTCATCATATGGAAAATGCCAAAGGATGTCCTGAGCCTTTCCTTCTATCTAGGAGAGGACAGAAGAGGTTCCATCCCCACATTCTGTTTTGATGACAGGAAAAAGCTAAACGGCACAGACGGTCTATCTGTGTAAGGAAGACCTAGGGGAACATGGACCTGACTATTTTTAGGTCTTGAAGTAACATTCCCACATGCTGGCTGGAGTGTGTTCCTTAAATCCTTCTTACATCAGCTCCTAAAGGGTACAGGTCACCCGAAGACAAACCAGCCCCCCAGGTCCACGGGGAGGTTGTCAGATGAGCTCTATTCACTTACTACTGTTGTAAATACTTCTTTACCCTTATGACTCATTCTAGCAGCTCTCAAATATCATATAAAATGGGAGGAAAAGCACGCTCAGAGGAGGATGCGTAGATGGGGGCCTTTGAAGGAGGCTGCTCAGAAGTCTGCCCCGGAGAGGAGGTAGGACTGGCTGTTCCAAGTACCACTGGCTTCCCTGTGCACTGGAACAGCTCTCTGCCGCTGGTCTGCACACTGTTTGTAACAGGTTTCCAGGGAGAACAGTACAGAAGCGTGGAGTAAGCATTTAGAATTTTTATAGTTTGATCATGTCTGTTGAATCTAATTACTTATATTTTACATGTCTTTGTGTATGTATCTTCATTTTGTTTTCCATTTTGGTTGTATTTTACCAAGAAAGTGTCAATATGCAGGAGATTGGGGAATGGTCTTCGACCACAGTGTGAGCAATGGACTGGTCTGTAAACCAGGGTAATGAATATCCTCAGCTCTTCAGATGCTGCCCTTGGCCACAGGTTCCGATTTAGGTGTTCCACTCCTAAAAGGAGAATTCTCGGCCCTGAACAAAAGGAGAGCTTCCAGACAGCAAGGACTGCTCTGAGTTTTCCAGAAGCTGCTAATAAAGAGTGGTCAAGTCAGTCCTGAGACATCCTTTCCTGTCACATGCCCTGCTTAGGGTTGTGGGGAGACTGTAGGGGAGGGAAGGAGACCTAGGGCCCTCAGCTACCTCTTTGTGGGAAGCTACCGGCATCTAATAACACCAACTCGACATTTATGAATGACCATGGAGGCCCTAGCTTCTCTCATAGGGCTGGGAGGCCGACTCTGAATTCGGTTTTGGAGACAATCAGAAGGCAGAGAAGCCCTGGCCAGTTTGGCTCAGCAGTTAGAGCGTCGGCCCGTGGACCAGAGAGACCCGGGTTCGGTTCCCTCTAAGGGCACATACCTCGGTTGCAGTTTGTCCCCGGCCCCAGGTTAGGGTCGTGTGGGTGGCAGCCACTCAGTGTGTCTCTCTTACAATCAATGTTTCTCTCTCTCTCTTCCTCCCTCTCTCCCTCCCACTCTATCTGAAGATAAATGCAAAAATGTCCTCAGGTGAGGATGAAAAAAAAGAAGGCAGAGAAATAGACTGTGTTTGATGACCAGTTTGGAGCAAGGGGAAGAAGCGCTGATTTGTAGGGTTTGATGATTACCTTGGTGTAAACACGCCCACTCTGGTGACTTCAAACTACCAGTACGATGTCACCAGGAAAAGACGTGCAGGAGCACGTGGGGCCCTTCTACCATCCTCGTCCGATGGACATCCACGGACTCGAGCACAGACAGCTGTCGAATGTACTAAAATAATTTGTGACGAGTTGAGAATGTATTACCTTAGTTGTTTCATATATTTTTGCCTTTTATATAATCTATTTAAATGCAAGTTTATATAACTTAAATTTCAATCGTGGCATGTTTAATAATCAGCTCACAAAATTCCTGAAATTCGAGAGCTTTCACAGGCCGGTTGGTACGGGAAGTCGGTACAGGGCTGTGCCTTTTCTCAAAATATTGACCAGGAGCTGCCAGACCATCGGTACTCGTGCCAGCCCTGCAAGTTTCCTTCCCCCACCCACCCAATATGGCCCAGGCAGTTCATTCTTCCCCTCCTCCCACAAATCACCGACCGGGGATTCTCAACACTGGGGGAAAGTCAATGGGCTGATTTTGAATGGTTCGTCACTTTATAGGTTAATAAACTCATGTTTATACTTTTCCACTCAACAGTGTAAAAGAAACATGGGCATATAAATATACTCCTACTAGACCCTTTTATGTTCTACAAAGATATAGAGATTTATATTTATTGCACAATATTTTTATTTATTGTATCTATGCTAGCCTGGTAGTTTTAGAGGGAGCAGATTTTAGAGACAGGTAAAGTTGTATTTTTTTTGTTTTGTTTTGTTAGTCCTCACCCGAGGATATTTTCCCATTAATTTTTAGAAAGAATAGAAGGGGGGGGGGGAGAGAAACATTGATGTGAGAGAGACACACCAATTTGTTGCCTCCCACACGACCCCAACCGGTGCTGGGGATCAAACCTGTAGCCCAGGTATGTGCCCTTGACCAGAAATTGAACCCACGACTCTTCAGTCTGTGGGCTGACATTCTAACCACTGAGCCAAACCAGCCATGGCTAGTGTTGCATTTTTGTGTAAATAACATCCTGGTTTAGCAGAGTCGGAACATAATTGTACCACATTAAATGACTGTAAATGTTATAAATGCTATTTCTTGGCTTTTATGACATTGTTATGTCTCTGATTTATTAACTACTAAGTCCCTGTCCAGAAATGCAACCCTAACAGCTACATTGTCCCAGTGGGAAATCGCTTTGCCTTACAAGGATCCGCGTATGACAGCTGCCAGGAATACACTTTGGTAAAGCAGAAACGAATCTAGATTTCATTGCTTTTTAAATGTTCGAGTTACAAAAAGATACAATCTTTGATTTACATACAAGATAAAACAAATTTGTGGATTCTGATAAGTAAATAATGAAAAATAGGGATTACTTGTGATGCTATTCTCATGCTCAGCATTAAAGGCATTTTTTAACTTAGCTTCATTATACAAACAATCTAGATAGATGTCAACTAGACTTACTGTAGTGACCATTTTGCAATGTATCCAGGTGTCAAATCATTTTGTCATACACCTGAAACTGATATACTGTTACATGTCAATTATATCTCCATAAAAATCATTTAAAGATCTAGAGTTAAAAGGAAATGGAAATTCTCGTCAAGGAAGTTAACTGGAAAATGCCATCCCCAGAAAAACAACTGAGGTGTTGCGGTGATGAAGTGGGTTACCTCCTGCAGGTCCACTGGTGCCGTCTTTCTGGACAGTCTCCTCCTCTGCCTCTAACCTGCCACCTGGGGAGTTCAGTCCTTCTCCCGGGCATCCAGGCTGCTGCTCGGAGCTCAGACACGCGTCCATTACCGGAGCCGGAGAGGAGGAAATTGGCCAAGACCCGAGGTGCTCAGCCCAGGCTGTCTGAATCTCTCGAAGGTGCAGCTTATGCCTTCACATCTGCTGAGTCGAAAAGAACATCTGCTTTTCAGCTTAGTTTCTGGGCAAGCAAAGCAGCCACTCCATGAGCTGCCATCCTGGTTTTGCAGAGCAAAGTGGAGGGAGACCATGAAACACGACCCAATCACTTCTGTGCATGAAGCAAGGGAAAAACAGAGCAGTGGGAGCTGGGGCATGGTCACGATGTTGCCGGGGTCTAAAATATATTTCTGATAACTAAGGGAACTGAATCTTGATAAAGAGGATCTGGTCTATCAATATGACCATTGGGTGTACCTTGTGGATTGAAATAATGTCATGGATGAGAAGCCAGGGCTTGGAGCAAACACAGGGCTGTTCTCTTTTCATCTGAGGCTTTCCTGCAGGACAGTAGAAAGTGCTAGGGGCTGAGAGCCAGGGGCCTGCTCCAGCTCCCTACTCTAACACTTCACAACTCATTTAAGCCCCTCCTTACCATTTTCTCACCAGCAAGAAGAGGCTAACAATATCTGCCTACCTCCTAGGGCTGTAGCAAGAAACAGGAGAGCAAAAGTGATTAGTACAGCACGGGAAAGCTCTCCCTGATTCAGCAAAGGGAACCTGGCTTTGGGAACATTGGCAGGTGGAAAACCCAAGCACCTGACATTGCTGCAGGACACATCACTTTGTTGCCAAACCCACTCTAGTGCTTTCCGTGGATCGATTCACCTCATCCTCACAACAAACCCTATAAAGTCCATGCTATCACTATGCCTCTTCTCAGATGAGAGAAATTCAGGCACAGAGATGAATCAACAGTACAAGTGTGTGCAGCTGGCCAGTGGCAGAGTTGGCCATCAAACCCTGGAGGTCCAGCTGCAGATTTGGCCTTGCTACATACAAGACAGACACAGCTCAAATTGCCTTGCTTTTTTGCCCTGGGTTTCCTGGCTTGCTTTGCCCTGAAATTCCTCATAACGTTTCCCTGTCACAGTGACATTTTCTAGTCTTTTTTATTTATTTTTTTAACAAAATGTAGTTTTTCTTGTTTGTGTTTACCATTCTGTGTTTATTTTCCTCAAGAGTTGCCTAGCTTCAGCCAGCTTCAGACAGCAACTAGCCACACCTGCCACACCATGACAAACTAGCTGACCCAGAAACAAACACAAAACCCGGTCATTCAGCCGCTGGCCTACTCCAAGAGCAAACCAACGCAAGAAAGAGGCCAGCCCCTGCAGGGAATGTGATTCCATCCCACACCTGCAGAAATCGCACGTCCCACACGCGCGTGCCACAGGATTTCTAACAAACGAGACTGCTGTGAAAGTACTTGAACATTTTCATTGGCTCTAGAATCAAAGAAGCAAATATTCACCCCAATTCTCCAACTCACCAGACCAGCCAAGAGTGCTCTGCTGGTCTGTGCTCCGCAGGAGAAGAGTTTTCTTTCGAAGACACTTGCTCCTTCCTTTCAACTTTCCCACAACTCCAGGAAGTTTCCCCTAAATTAAGATAGCAGATGGTCACTTATGAGCCCATACAACATCTTCAATGCAGAAGGCTCAGCGCTGTGGTTGTGGGAGTTAAAAGAAGTAATTTATGCAGAGACTCACACAATACTATCTACTGTGATTATCATCTCCAAAGCTAGAGAAGTCACGAAATACAGCCCTCTGTGCAGGACTCCTTCCAGCACCATGCAGCTCTGAGCATTACACTGAAGACATTTCTTCATTTTGCATGCAAGCAAAGAAGGGTTATTTTCAAACACCAGGTGGTACTTTTCCTTGTGAAATGAAATGACTCCCTCCCCCTTCATTATAGTTGACTTGAGAAATTAATTCTTTCCTAAAGACAGCTGTGTATTAAAAACAACCTAGACTGTAACTACAATAATCTGCCTAGTATTCATTATTAATTCAACACATCCTATGATATATATCAATATTAGTATTTAATAAAGAATTGGGAAGTTTTAAAAATGACTCCTTGTTAGTATCCTCAAAATAATTTTGAACTCTTAGTTTAAATAGATCTTTACCTTGTGTGGCAGAAGAGATTTGAGATTTCTGTGTGCCCTTCAATCCCCAATGTTTTATATAGATCTGCACCTAAAAGGATTAGCATTTTATGAACAAAAGCCAGCCAGTGGAAGTCCAAGTTATTTAGGGTAGCATTACCCACCAGTACTCAGACACATTTCTTTGCTAGAATTTCCTCTCTCTCTCTCAATCTCTCTTGCTCTCTCTCTTTTGATCTCTCTCTCTTAAATTTTCTCTCTCTCTCTCTCTCTCTCTCTCTCTCTCTCACACACGCACGCGCACACACACACACATCCAATCCTTGCAACATGAAATAGAATCACCCTCGAAAGATCCAGAAAATGACTCCAGCCGAGCAGAGACTGCCCTCCATGGTATCCAGTTGCTGTGATGGAGTTTGAAAGGTGGACTTATATTTCACTTTAAAAAAAAAGTGGGGGTTGGGTAGTTGGGGGGGTTTATGAACCTGTAAACTTTGTGTTCATCAGTCCAACTCCTATGGCTGAAGGAAGGGGCCTGCCTGTCGCGGACTCTGCCCTGGACCCTGATTCTCACACCCAGAAATAACATGAGACTCTACCAAGAGGGAGGAAAAACTTTTGCGAGGAAGATAGGAGACTGGTCTCTACTTAAGAAGGGATGTGAGGCAAAAGCTTAAAGCCACATAAGGGGTATTTATTTGGGGTGGCAGTGAGGAGAAAGTCAGAAAAAGTCTTCAAAATAAAAAGCAATACGTTGTAATTTATTTAATAGAAAGAGGGGCAGTTAAAAGGGAAAGAGAAACAGTGTTTGCTCATTTTGGAAGCCTGGAAATCCTTAAAATAGAATATAGGGCATGTAATTTAAGGCCTCTGGTAAATAGGAATCAAATAATCATTCAGTTTTACGAAGGACTATATTTACCATTGAGCCAAATGAATGGTGATTTAGCTTGAGTAGATAGAGGGGCCATTTTCATTTTTATTCAACATTGGTACTTTCTTTTCTGCTGTTATACCTCTTTTTTTTTTTTTTATGTCTGTTTCTTTTAACTCCAGATCTCTGTGGATGTGCTGTGGTCCTGTGACTGTTAAGTCTTCTTTCCTACTCCTTTATATGAAGGGGAGTGACCAGGAGTCTTTCAAATCTATCATTCCAATGTTTGTTTGCTTTTTAAATATATTTTTATTTACTTTTTAGAGAGAGAGGTAGAGAGAGAGATGTGAGATAGAGTGATGTGAGAGAGAAATGTTGATTGGCTGCCTCCTGCACGCCCCCTACTGGGGATGGAGCCTGCAACCCGGGCATGTGCCCTGACCAGGAATCGAACAGAGACCTCTCAGTCCATAGGACGACGCTCAGTCCACTAAGTCCCACCAGCCGGGCCCCAGTGCTTTTATTATTTCCCAGTGGTTCAGGTCTGTGGCTTTGTTCCGAGCTCTGTAACTTACTTCCACCAGATGTCATCATCCCTGTAAGGAATAGCAGAAGACGGTCATCATGACAACTTTTTAAATGACTTTTAAACACTGATTATAATGTACATTTACACACACACATTCATCCTATGAGCTTGAAAAATGAAGAAAAAGGACAAAGAAGATTTTTTAAATCTCATAATCCCATTATACGGAGAGGGAGGCCTGACTAACATTTTCTGGTGTCAACATTTAGGCCTTTTTTTTGGTATAAACTTCATAAAAAGCTATTTTACTGACAATGAAACTGGATAGAAAAATACCTCTTTGACCTAGTGTGAAATATCCTATTATTTTAAGGGTTTCTTTGTAATACTTTCTTCAAAAACCATCTTTCAGGTATCAGCCTTAAGAAATAAATCAGAGCACTATTGCTTGGAGCTGGAATAAGTTACATCTGAGGTTCCTAAATATCGGACTACGATGGGCCACATTAGAATCACCTGGAACCTTTAAAATGCATAGACTCTAGTCCCCAAGAAACTCCTGCTCAAAGGTCTGGGGAAGAGCTTGGAAGTTTGAGCTAGCAGTCCGACAGCCGCTCCGCGGTTCTGCAGCGCTGGGCATGTAGGCCACGCCTGTCCCTAGGGCCGCGGACACGGAAGCTGTGTTCAGATCTTTGAAGTGCCATCCCGCGAAGAGGGATTAGGCCTTCTGCATGGCCCTGGAGGGCACACTGATGAAGTAAGTTCCCGGGAAGCAGAATCGGGCTCAGCGGGAAAGAACTTGCTCACAGCAGAGTGATGGAACAGTTGATCTCAGGGAGCCTAGCCTAATGGAAAGTGGGCCAGGCTTGAAGTCAGAAGGTAGAAGATTGGATCAAAGCTTTATACAAGGTCAATAAATAAGCTACATGCTTTCCTCCCTCAGTGTAGACCTCTGATCTATCACTGGGCTTTTCCCAACTGAACCTGGCTCTCTGGGCCAGTGGTCCTCCCAGGGACATTTGGCAATTTGGAGACATTTTTGCATGTCACAGCTGGGTTGGTGTGGTACTGTCATCTAGTGCATAGAGACCAGGGATGCTGTTAAACATCCCTGTCGGCAGTGCCGAGGTTGAGAAACACTGGTCTGGATGATAAATCCAAGTTGTCATGCAGAGCAAATTCTACCTGCCACGCTGCATGTACCTCTACCAGCTGGTGGCCCCTGCCTCCTCTGCCTCGGTGCACTCATCTATAAAATGAGGTGGGTTAGTATTTCCAGAGCGTATAATACACACCAGATTCTGAGCCACACCTTCACATAGATCCAGCACAGCGGCCTGGGCTTCTGCTTTCTCCCAGGAGAAGAACCAGAGACAAGGATTTGATATGTGGGGAGTGAGGAAGGGAAAACAATCAAGGGTAAGCGTAGAAGCCAGCAGAGAGTGTTCTATGAGGCCAGGGGGAGATAAAAATTTAAACCTTTGGGGAAAGTCTGGGAAATGAGGCCAAACACACACCTCGGATTTATTCCACTCCCGGTTCAGAGGGCCGGTGGGCTATTCCTAACCACCATCTCAGCACAGGTGCAGACACTAGCACCTGTGAGAGATGTGAGCAAGGTCGTGACAGCATCTGCTATGGCCCATAAAATGTTGCTATTCCTCACACAACCGTAAGAAGTAAATGAAACATTATTTATCTGAAAGAATTAGCCTGATGCCTAGAAGGTCATGGTCATTGGTAAATAAGTGTCCTGTATTAAATTGCATGTCATTCAAGTAGAGGGCTGAATAAGCAGTGTTCTTTGAAAGGATTCTGGGTCACTCACTGAATCAAATGAAAAAAACTGAGCATTGGGGTTTAGTAAATAAAGGACCCGGGGCTGCTCTGGTCCGAGAGAGCTCAGCAGCGGGGGTTCGTGGGCTTTCTCGACAAACAGTGCCGCTGCAGGCCTCAGCTGCAGTCACCTTCCAGCCCTGTGTAGCTGTGGTCAAGATTTAAGGTGGGAAAAAATATTCTTATCGGTCTAACGTGGTCATAAGCTCAGCCCTAGAGTCAGGGTTGGGTGGTGTAAAAGGCATCCTGCCAAATCCCGAGGGGTGCGGTTGGCAACTTAGACGGATGCTGTGCCTATGAAAAGCAAGAGTTAGGTATGGCCCTCCTCCTCTTCCTGGCCCCCTGTGCATCCTCCCTCCCTTCCTTCCTTCCTTCCTTCCTTCCTTCCTTCCTTCCTTCCTTCCTTCCTTCCTTCCTTCTTCCTTTCTCTTTCCTTCCTTCCTTCCTTCCTTCCTTCCTTCCTTCCTTCCTTCCTTCCTTCCTTCCTTCCTTCCTACCAATTATACACACTTTTGTATTTCCATAACCACAGCCCAGAATGGAGACCATCATCTCTAAAATGGCTAATGTACCCAGAGAGAATGGAGTCATTCTTCTCCAATCCCAAACCTTCAGATGGTGTCCATTTCTTCACTGGCTCCATTGCTTCTCCCACACCAGTCATGTGATACCAGGTGACCATAGACAAAAACTTGATTAGCTGTTTCACCACTGACTATCATGGACTCCTATTCCCATCCCAGAACACGAGTGAGAGGCTCATTGCTTTTCACATAATCTTCCCCAAAAGTTCCACAATGGAAGGGTGCTGATCAGACAAGTATAAGAGATGTCCACTATACTTATTTATAGGAGATACTGTGGTGGGAATTCACTTCCAGAGAGGTGGGGTTTCATTGAACTAGATGTGCCTTCGTAACCCCAGGAATCCCTAAAATACAAGAATGTGTGTGATTTTCAATATGTCATACAGAAATTATTTGGTTACAGTGAAAGGCAATTCTGTAATTTCTGGTCCCTCAATTATCTGGTAAGGCAGTGGCTCAAAGTTCATAATCCTCTCTGTTAAATGATTTAGGGCTGCTACAAAGCCTCTCACTAGCCAGACTTTAGGGGTGCCCCTGAGAGTGCCTAAGGAAAGGGTCCATCGATACTGCTCCTGTGGGGTGTGTGTATAAAGATTCAGACCACGTAGCATTGTAGAAGCATCAGACACAGAACGCCTGTGCAGCAGAACTGTAAAATGGGGCTGTTCCCATCTTGGCTTGGGCTGGTGCATGAAGACAATGGATTTCCTGTCATGCTGAAGAGAGACCATCATCAGAAATGTTAAGGTAGGTGTTCAGAAAAAAAACATTCAATTAAATTTTGTTAAGCTTGTAGACAGAAGAATTCTGCTCCATTTTTTTTTTTAATTTCTTTTTCTTTATTGATTTTAGAGAGAGAGGAAGGGGGAAGAGAGAGAGAAACATCGATGAGAGAGAGAGAAACATCGATGAGAGAGAACATCTATTAGTCACCTCCTGCATGCCCCCCAACTAGGGATCAGGCCCACAACCTGGGCATGTGCCTTGACCAGAAATCGAACCGGCAACCTCTTGGTGCATGGGTCAACACTCAACCATTGAGCCACACCAGCTGGGCAAGTTCTACTTCATTTTAAATGTCCTTTATATAATGACAAACGGTACCAGTGAAGAAGGAAGGAAGAATATGAGTGAAATAATCCAATGCATTTGAACAGAGAAAGTGAAGTTACAGTCATTTCATTTTTAAAATAGCACATGCCTAATTCTAAGCATTAGAAG